GGATGACCTCTCTGTATAGGATGCTCTTTGCTCTACAGTCATGTCACACTCTCACTTCTTTCAAGACTCTGCTCAACAGCCAGCTTACACTTTCATCTGCCTGCACTCTCCTTTCCAGTCCACTGGATACGAAGTAAGATCCTATCTCTTTACCTGGTTCATCTTCTCCACAACACTTACACATGTCATCACATACATGTGCACTAGCATGCGCACACACACACACAGGTATATACAGAAGCACATACATGAACACACATACAAGTTGTTCCTCCACATCAGTGGGCTCCATATCTTCACATTCAATCAACTGTGGATTGAAAATATTCAGGAAAGGGGGCTGGAGAGATGGCTTAGCAGTTAAGAGCACTGGCTGTTCTTCTAGAAGACCAAGGTTCAAACCCCAGCACCCACATGGCAGTTCACAACTGTCTGTAACTCCAGTTCCAGGGGATCTGATACCTTCATACCAATACACATAAAATAAAGTTAAATAAATTATAAAAAAAATTTAAAAAGAAAATATTCAGGAAAATGCTGGGCCGGTGGTGCTTGCCTTTAAAACCTACACTGGGCAGGCAGAAGGATCTCTGTGAGTTCAAGGCCATTCTAGTCTACAGCCTGTTCTACATACTGAGACCCTGTCTCAAAAGAAGAGGAGAAATTTCCAAAAAGTAAACCTCACTGGGCAATGGTGGCTTTCACCTTTAACCACAGTACTTGAAAGGCAGAGGGAGGTAGATCTCTGTGAGTTCGAGGCCAGCCTGGTCTACAGAGTGAGAGTTCTAGGTCAGGCACCAAAACTATACCTAGAAACCCTATCTCAAAAAAAAAAAAAAAGTAAACCTCAGATTAGTTTTGTAGCAAGTACTACACAGAATCCACACAAACACATGAAGTGATGTGAAAGCATCCCCTTTGTCACTGCTAGAACATGTCATCCATATCCTGGCTGTGTGCAATGTGACCAGGCATACAACACATATATAAAAGTATTTCTAATCATTATCTCCTAAGCAGTATAATGACCACCTGCCTACCTTGTACTACTACACATAGAGATGACTTATATGTAGCTGTACAAAGTCTATGTGTTAAGCTAAGAGCTTCAGCATTGATGAGTTTGGGTATCCAACAGTTCCTGGGTCCAGTTCAAGGACATTGTGGGGCTATGATGCAGGATGCTTATTATTGCTGTAGTTTACATCTTCAAGCTGAAATATAAGTTTTTTAGAGAAGGAAGCTTTCATTTCATCCACTGCCATGCCTTCAACACCCAAAACGGTAGACCTCACTTACTGCTAAATCCACAAGATAGTACTTGCATTAATTAGTTGAAAACACTATTATGGAGTGAGCTCTTTTTGTTTGTTATTTTACCTTCAAAAACAAATCTATAATTTACTAGGAAGAAAATTTACTCCAGATGCTCTACTCAGGTTGATTTTGATCTTCTTAGATTTTTATATTTTAAATGACATGTAACCTCGAACAGCACTGAGAGTAAAAAGAACACTAGAACCCAGAAGCAGAAGGCCCAGGTCATCTTACTGACATAGCTAGACATGCTACACCCATCACAGCAGAATCCTTCCTGATCAATTTCTAAAATGAAGGAATCACTCATATTTCCAAGGGGCATCATCTCCAACGTTCCTTCTGTGCTCTAAAATTCTGTGACTCCATAGTCTTATCTATTATGGTTGTCCTTCATAAATTATTCAACTGAGTCCCAGCCCTTTTTTTTTTTTTTTTTTTTTGATTTTTCGAAACAGGGTTTCTCTATAGTTTTGGAGCCTGTCCTGGAACTAGCTCTTGTAGACCAGGCTGGCCTCGAACTCACAGAAATCCACCTGCCTCTTTCTCCTGAGTGCTAGGATTAAAGGTGTGTACCACCACCGCCTGGCTCTGAGTTCCAGTCTTATTTATAATTCAAAATCATTAGTGGAAGAAGTCTATAATTATAAAACCCTATGAATAATCTCAGCACTGGGAAGGCAGAGGCAAACGGATCTCTGTGAGTTCAAAGCCAACCTGGTCTATAGAGGAAGCTCCAGGACAACCAGAGATACACAGAGAAATCCTGTCTCAAAAAACAAACAAAACTATACAGATCACTGCTATTCCCTCAGAGTCAACTGGAGAGAACTGGGAGACACTATTTCACAGGCTGTTAACATCCCAAAAGATACCTTTTAAACTATGCTAAACTCGAATCATCCTGAAACACAAAAAAGAAACAGTTGCTAAACAGGAAACAAAGTGGGGTTAGGAAAGCAGCTCTGTGGATGAAGAGCTTGCTCTGCAAAATGAGGATCTGAGTTTAGGGCTGGAGAGACTGCTTGGTGGTTAATAAGATCTGAGTTTAGATCCTCAGCATCCCTATAAATCAATTCCTAAGTATTAAAAAATATTTAAGGCTACCTTTAATCCCAGGACTTGGGAAGCAGAGACAAGCAGATCTCTGTGTGTTCTATAACAGCCTAGTCTACACAGAGTTCTAGGACAGCCAGGATTAAGGAGTGACACCCTGTCTCAAAAAAAAAAAAAATAAATAAAGATCTTGAGCAAACTGCACACTTGCTCTGCTCTTTACTTGCTATATTCACACAAAAGATACAACAGTTGCAATGAATAACAAGATTTAGCTCCTAGAGTCCTTTGAGAATCTAACACGACAGCACCCAACACAAGTGATACAGTTAAAGAATATTATTAAATAGTTAGGTGTGTGAATAACAGACTACTTGCTTTTCCAGATACTGCACTCTCTGGAAAGGAACAGTTTCCCGTTACTGTCAAACCCAGTGTGTATCACTCATTCACATATTCCTTTAGGAGAAGAATTAATCTAGTTGGTCACAGTCTTTCCTTTAAAATGAATCTGGAAATAGCTGGTAAATTCACTCAGGGCACATATAGTAAATAACTCGGTTGTTAAAATAATTCTATTCCTTCTAATCGGAAAACTCAATTGCATATACACCAAACAGTCTGGGCTCGAGAGAATTTAGGTTAGTCTCCAAAAAACAAAGAGCACCTTCCACCTTTACACAGCAGTGTCCACTAAATAAAGGGTCCACATCATACCATCAGAGCCCTGGGGTTTTCAAGCAGTTAAATCAGACACCCCTTGCTTTTTATAGAATAGGCACAAATAAAGCATAATTGTGTTAAGATTTCACGTTAGGAATTCTCTATCAACTTATATATCATCCATGTTATCGTGGCTATACTGTAAAATATGTCAATTAGGAATTCTGAAGCAACCTAAGCCAGACACACAAACACAGCGGACAGCATTCGCATCTCAAGCACGTCCCAGAGTCTCGCTGAACGCGATCGGATCTCTGCCGTTTTCAAAAACACACAGTAATGAGATTTTAATCCATTTCTATAAATGTCGCTGGTACTGAACGCCAAAGCGCATGGAAAACCGCAAAACACAAAAGATTCCGCACACAGGTTCTCCTGTCTGCGGTGTACCCCAGGGAATCCTCCATGCGGCAATACGAATTTCACCACATTCTATGCTTCCTGCACACCAAAATGTCACCCCACAAAGTGGAGGGGAAGCAGGGTCAACAGCCAGCTGACCTGAATGAAAACACGACGGCCAACATTCCCACCTCTAGGCAAATACAAAACCGAGCTTACTCGGTGGAAAGTTCCCATATGCACATTTGGGTTTTTTGGGGGGTGGATGGGGGCGGGGGACCATCACAACTAGCTGATGCACCTGCCACCGCTCCTGAGGCTGGGCTTCTTAGCGACCCCGCTACGCGCGCGCGCGCGCGCGCACACACACACACACACACACACACACTCACATCGCCCTTGACCCTTCCCAGGCCGCGGTGCAGCATCCCTTTCTCGCTGTCCACACCGCCGACTTCCCTGACAAAGGCCCGGGTGTCAATCTTAGGCACCGCACAGACAGGCTGCAGGATTGCTTACGGTGGAGGAAGCCCGGCAGCTGTCACCTGGTCTCCCCAACACACACGCGTGCACTCTCGCACCCACAAAATCAACACAGGGCTGGGGCTAAAAAGAAGCAGAGCGTGTGCAACCGTTCAAAATACAAAAGGTCTCCGGAGCGCAGGCACCTGGGCGCGCCCGCCCAGGGACTCCCGGC